GTTGTATGTACTACTACTATACTACTCCATCCATTCATATTGTGCTTTCAACTAAAAAGAAATTGGATAGTTTTGGGCTGATTCACACAAATCCATGGATCGATTTCTTGCACTGAATATAATTTTTGTATGCCAAATGCGACGCTACTACGGCAGTACTTGTATGATGCTTCAAACCCAGTACATTTTGTGCATATTGTTAGCATTTCAATCAATGTCGTATATTCGAAAGCTAAAATACGAATAGTGACAACGGCACTCGGGGGCTTGACCTCCACCGCTTAGTCGCGGTCATCCGAAGAGTCGCGTTGCTCGCTATGCGTAGGAGTAGCCGCGGTGGTGGTAGGCTTGGGGGTGATGTTGGGAATGTCAGAAACGGAGTTGTCTCTGGTAGCAAGGATCTCTTTGACCTCGGGCAAGGCTGCGAAGCGGTTGACTTCATCCAGGGTCAAGTCATTGCAAAGAAGCAGACCCGGAAGCGGGGGGTGCTTGAGGCATTTGTGAAATGTGTACACCACAGAGTCCGGCGAATTGTCGTGAACGGCCACAGACACAGTGACGGTGGTCGATTGTTGCAGCGATTGAAGCACGCCGGGCCCTATTTTATGTTGGTAGTCCACGGCATCGTCATCCGAGACGACAGGCTTCGGGGTGGTGACAGCAGGCTTGGGGGTGGTGGTAGGCTTGGGGGTGATGTTGGGAGTGTCAGAAACGGAGTTGTCTCGGGCTGGAAGGATATGGTAGACCTCGGGCAAGGCCGCGATGCTGTAGATTTCTTCCTTGGTCAAGTCTTTGCAGTCAACCTGACCCGAAAGCAAACCACCCTTGCATTTGGGATGGGTGAACAGGCTACTACTCTCGGGCATTTCCAACGTGCCCAAGTAGTCATGCTCCACAAGCACATTAACGGTGGACGATTGTTGGAGCGATTCGAGCACTGAGGAGGCCACTATTTTATCTCGGTCGGCCGCGGCCACGTCATCCGAGACGACAGGCTTCGGGGTGGTGACAGCAGGCTTGGGGGTGGTGGTAGGCTTGGGGGTGATGTTGGGAGTGTCAGAAACGGAGTTGTCTCGGGCTGGAAGGATATGGTAGACCTCGGGCAAGGCCGCGATGCTGTAGATTTCTTCCTTGGTCAAGTCTTTGCAGTCAACCTGACCCGAAAGCAAACCACCCTTGCATTTGGGATGGGTGAACAGGCTACTACTCTCGGGCATTTCCAACGTGCCCAAGTAGTCATGCTCCACAAGCACATTAACGGTGGACGATTGTTGGAGCGATTCGAGCACTGAGGAGGCCACTATTTTATCTCGGTCGGCCGCGGCCACGTCATCCGAGACGACAGGCTTCGGGGTGGTGACAGCAGGCTTGGGGGTGGTGGTAGGCTTGGGGGAGATGTTGGGAGGGTCAGGAGCGGAGCTGTCTGGGACAGGAAAGATCTCTTCGACCTCGGGCAAGGCTGCGGCGGTGAAGATGTCGTCCTCAGTCAATTCTTTGCAGAGAAATATAGTCCCTATCGCGGAGGAGCATTTGGTATTGTCGTGCAAGCTAGAGCGCTTGTGAAGGTCGAAGGCGCGTTCAATGGCCACAAACACAGTAACGGTGGACGATTGTTGTAGCAATTCAAACACGCTGGGCGATATTTTATGTTGGTTGGCCGCGGCCACAGCCAAGATAGACAAGAGGCCAGCAGTTTTCATCGCGGAGTCAATTCAAGAATGAGAGGAACGAGTCGCAACGTGCTAATGGCAAGGTAGCAGCTACCACCATGAGGTTGCACTTTGATTTGGGCCTATCTATATCCGCAGGAACTATGGACTTACAGTTAAGAAGTATGGACTGTTTTCCTGATCTTTAAATGTGGGATTTGTGTTCAGTAGCTTGTCACATCATGAAGT